TTTTTATTCTCCTACTTATATCTGCCCTTTTATCTTGTAAACTTCAGAAATATTCTGATTCTCCTGAAGTCAAATTGTCTTTGCTTAATAACTTCTAAGCTCAATGTCCTAAAACCAAATGACACTGTTACCACTTAGGCTATTTATATGCAAAGACTCAAATTCTCTCTCTCTATATATATTTTGATTTCTTTTAGTTTCTCTTTAGGTAACACAGACAACTTTCTTTTTTATAAGGTAATTTTTATCTAAGGATCTTTTTCAGTTTATGCTTTACTAATTAAAGATGTTTTGTTTGTTTTGGTTTTGCTTGGGATCAAGAAACCAGTTTCAGCTAGGGGATAACCTCAGAGTCAGAATCCTCACTGAAAGCTTTGCTACTTCTGCTGTTGGTGGGTCTCTGGACACTGCAGCCTCCAACATTATCGATTAGTGGCATCACACATCTTTACCTTGATAAACTTGAATTTCAGGGTTTTCCATTCATTCTAGAATTCCCTTCTGTCCTTAGGGACAAACTACTGATGCCACAGGTGGGGGGTGCAGCATAACCACGTATGCAATATCTCAGAAAGCAATACTCTTAAAAACTCATAGCTTTTATGGCTCCCCATAAGTTAGCCTCCTGCACGCCACCCTCAGCCTCCCAGCCACAGCTCTGCACCCCAAAGTATATGGGAGTTGGGACGTGGGAAGAAGCCTCGTGGCAGCTAAAATTCCCACCTTCAAGTTCAAGAACTCCTTTCATTTAGCTAGAACTAAACTCAATCTCACTAGTCTAATTTGAGGCATCATATAAATCAATCCAAATACCTGTTTTTCTCCTATAGAGAAGATAGAAATCATCACAAGGAGGTTCTACTTAAGGCAAGCATGCTGGCACTAGTGAGAATGATCACAACCTAGCATCCCAAGAAGAAACAGAAAATGTAAAAAGCAGAGCTAGCAAAGTACAGGCTGCTGGGACGTTGCATGACTGTCTTAGGAGACTGGCCTTGTATCAGCACATTTAAGCAGTGATTTGTCCAGTGTGACATAAGACACCAAGTAAAGATTCAGTCTACTTATGGAAAAGAACAACTTGATTCATTTAAAAAGAACTTTATTCTAAATTGGTTATATTAAGATTGGTCCTTGAAGGGAACATGTTACTTTTGGACAAAAATCACTTTCCTACTATTTGTCACCTACTCTTTGTCCAATGTGATACCATGTATCTTTTGGTTATTTTCTTATAACAAGACTTTCCCTTAAATGGAAAGCCTCATTTTCTTTGATTACTATTAGTCCTCTTTCTATGGGCTAAACAGAAGGATAAGCTTAAGGGATACGTTTGAAATTTATTCAGCATAGTTTTCTTTGTGTAGATGCATAGACAAAGATATTACAGAAAAAAATTAACATAAAACTTCATGGCCACTATCTTCCATTTAATATCCTTCTCTTCCTCCTAAAAGATAATTCTGCATTTCCTGTTTTCTAGTCTCCAGTTCTTCTGGTGGTGTTTTATTTTTCCTGCAATCACTAAAAGTGATGAATGAGGAGTTTCTTTTCATTATCCTATGATTTGATCTTGCTCATCTTTTTCTTCTATCTGGATTGCTAATTGGAAATCATAGCTGTTAAAATGAGCCTATCACAGATGTCATCCTAAAATTTCTACTTCCTTCTTTAGGTCCTTTATAGGGCAGAATCTTGATTAACAGATGTCCAGGCAGACCGTTTTTGGGTGAATACAACCATGTTGAAAAGAACAGATCTTCATAAATCGCATACAAGATCTGTCTCTCTCTACAACACCCATAGACCCCACCAAGACTGGAGATTCAACTCAACCTCAGGCAAAATTTGGAAGCTTGTGGACTGCCTTCATTAAACCAGCCATAGTTGCATCTCTCAGGCTGCTTTCTCTGTGGGGATGACTACTTTTTCTCTTTATAAACCAAGTGTTCCTCTTTTTACTTCTATCCTCCTTCCCAAATGGGACATATTAGTCATTTTTTATTTGGAGTTTTAAATACAGTCTCCACCATGCCTTTTCACGTAAAGCCTTTGGTACCTTCCTGTGAAATGAGCACCTTTTTCTAGCTCAGTTTCTGAAGCATTAGGCATCATTGAATGAGGGGTGAGGTAGGAGGAGAAGAGGACAGAAGGCTACAAGTGGTTACTCAACAAGCCTAACCACGCAGCTGCCTACCTTCTTCATGGTAGTCCAGGTAAGCAGCCACTGCTATCGACAGCTGGCTCACCCTCTCCATACTGACTTCTCCCTCTTTGTTTTTCTTATTTTTGCCAGTTCTAGCAATGTATCTGACCTTTGGGGACACATTCTTTATTCCTGTCTCAACTGTGGGAAAAATTTCTTGTCAGAGTTGTATTGAAATAAAACTGGCCTTTGGCAAAAGCAGCATTTGCTAGGAAGCTCATGGGCATTGGGAACCAAGTGCTGAAGTGAGCAAGTTTGTGTGCACTGGGTTGTGATTTGATGAAATGAGGGGTAAGGACGAATTGTCCTACAAGGTCAGTCGGGCTGAACTTGTGGGAGTGTTACTACATCAGTCACAGGGTGCTGTCTCTCAAAGTGGGGCCCACAGGCCATCTACATCAACTTCTCCTAGGTGCTCATTACAAATTTATCCCATGGAGACTAGGGCAGAATATATAAGAGTGAGCCTAGAGAACTATATTTTAACAAATTCTCCACCAATCTGCTGTTCCTAAATGAGAAGAGCAACCTGTTTGACATCCTGGTTCTCTGTTTAGCAGCTCCCTGGAATTACTTACAGATGCATATCTAGAGGGGCTTAGGAAAAGGTAACTCACTCACCTTTGTCAGACATGTAAGAATCTGAGACAGAAACCAGCCAGCTGGAAGTCTGAGCTTTTGTCTCAAGTAGTATGGGGCTCCTATGGCCTCCCAAAGGAGAATTGTTCACAGTTCACAAAGTTCAGTGTGGCATCCTTGACTCTGCTCAACTTTTGCATATGTTCTTCTGGACTTCATATTTCTTTTCTTTTCTCCTCAGGCTCATTTTTGCTTTCCAAGCTAAGTATGAACAACTAATATTTCTCATTTATCCATGGCTCAGCTATCAGCAAACCCAGAAAGACTTTCATATCTCCTGCCCACCACCCTCAGGAACCTCATCCAGGAGAGTTGCACCTTATACAGATTTAGGTGCTTTCTTTAGTACAGCATTGTCAGTTTCTTGCCTGTCTCTCTCTTTCCTATTAGTCACTGAGTTTAATTGTCCTTATATAACTGAGCTGCACCCAGGGCCTGATCTGGAATCATGCTCTATAAATGCTTGTCAAAGGAATGGATGAGCCAGAAGGTCTTGTCAGGCCCCCTGACGCACATTCCCCTCAGTTTGCATTGTCTGCCATAAGAAATGACTGGATTAACTTGTGTGTAAAATGAAATATGTTTGTATTAGAATCAGCTTCCTGTGATTCTTACAAAAATGTGTTTTGAGAACAAAACAAATAGGATAGGGAGAAAACTGGGGTGCTTTAGAGGATCTAAATACTTGTGAAGTACATTTTTTTAAATGCCACAAAATGCTTTAAAGAACTTCAAGTAAATTTAAGAGAGGATCTACTGGATTTTGGCTAAGTGCTGAAAATAAGTTTCCTTAATTCCCTATCCAAATACTTCAGTTTAAATTTACTGGTAGCTATTTCAGAGGAAGATGGGGACTCTGCCATCCTCAGTTTGTTATAAAGAAAATGTTTTTGTCTTCAGATGTTTATAGGAAGGATTAAAGGCAATTTATGGCTTGAACAGAAAGTAATAAAAGTGGTAACAATGGAGTATCTTCTAAATTGTCATTTTCTGGAATTACTAACAATCTCAACCCAGCAGGCATTTTACATCTAAAAGGAATTATGTTCATTTGTCATGCTTTAACATAAACTATGACATCAATCTTGAGCTGCTAACCTAGATTGTTTCATTCTATTGTTTAAGATGAAGGATTGAGTCAGTTGTAGGGAAGATGAATTCTGTCATTAGATCATTTGCTACAAATTCAAGAAATATATTTATAATTTATCTCAGAAAATTGGTCTGGGAAATCTACATGAAATGTATTTTCATAATATCAAGCCACAGCCTGTTTAGTTTTTCCAGAAATGCTTCATTTTGAATTCCCTAGGGGGAAAAAAAAATCACAAGAATTAAAAAAAAAATTAACCTGCCAGGTTATTTGCCTTCTTGCAGTGTTCTTTTTTGTAAAAGAGCCCCAGGTTACAAGATTTCTTGCTATTTGTTTAATTGAAGCAACGATAGCTTCTTTATGTTACTTTACAATTTATGAAGAAATTTAAAACTGAAATTGTATTCAGTCTGTGCAACAAGTATGAGTAGCAATAATATATTTTACATGTAGCTGAGCCCTTTTATTAATTGAGGGAGTACGGAGCTTCAGAGTTGTTAGGACATTATCAGTGTCAAATAATACAGGACCTACCTCCAGACAGCTTCCTCTCCAACTATACCTCTGGTGAATCCAATGCTATTTTCCTTGAACTATGAAATCCTAGAAATGTTATTATTGCTTGTTCTTTTCTGTTATCGATTGAATAATGATTGGTTCCCATGCTTGATGAATCTCAAGTTTTAGACAATGCCCAAGTATTTATTACAAATGACTTTTTTGCATAGTGTAGTGTAGAAAATGAGTCTGAAATAATCTTAAGTTATATAAATTTTATATAATATTCTTTAATTCTGTTAATGGTTCTGGCATTATGTTAATATTTCTGATTGATGTATTGGTGCCAATCCTGGGTATATAATCAAGTCAATTTCCAGGCTCAACTTCATCCAGAGGTTGAAGACACCAACAGTCCATGTTTTATGTCAGTGTCAGACACCATATGACACTTCTCCAGTAACTCAGATCTTTAGTGGGTTGTGACTTGCACACTCATAATAGGGTGCATCCCAGTGATCTATGTAGGTTTCTGTTTAAATCTATTTTCTTCTCCCTGCTCAGAGTAAAAGAAGCTGAAGAAGTGTGTAGGCAGAAAAAAGGAAAATCGCTTTATAAAATAAAACCAAGACATGACTCTGGAATTGTAAGTATTCAACTTTTTTTTATCTTGTGATTTTTCTTGACTTTGAACCTTGTCTTCACAGTGCACACAAGTTCAGTAATTTCCCTCTTAAATGGTGATAAATGATAAGCTTCTAATTTCAAGAATCTCCTTTTCTTTAAGCCTTTAGTCGGACTCAGAAAGTTAAGAGAATCTCAATATGCAGTATTCAGAACTTAAGATTATTAATATAGTAAGCATGTGCATGTGTGTGCACTGCTGGAGACAAGAGATCATCTTACACCTTGTTCATTGCACACGGATCACAACCCAAGGCTGCACCTGATGCCAGAGTGAAGTACTATGGGATTTACTGCAGTGAGATCTAAAACACAACGGGAAATCCATCATACAGTGTTGTGCTTTGCCGGGGGTGCTCAGACCTGATCAAATGGCTCTACAAAGGTGGTCCCTAGGTTGAGTTCAACAAGGGAATATAAGTTTCCTCTTTGCTCATTTTTTCCTTTATAAATGCCAGATTGTGCACCCTTGGAGAGAAGAGCTAGGTTAAAATGACATTTTCTTTGCGATATTGTAGATGTTTTGTATAATGTTTTGAAGGGATCACCAGTAAATGGTGCTGTTTTAAATAAAAAGTTAACTTAGGCCTCTGAACAGGAGCATCTTTTATTGGATTGCTGTAATGTGGCCTAAATGGAAAAGCCATCAAGTTAACCCAAATTGAAATACAATTAAATAGCCCTACTCAGAGAAAGGTAGGAGTTATATCTTCATTTAAAAATCTTATTTTCCCTTCGGTTTTTTCTGTATCCAAATTAATCTTATCTAATGACAGTTTTAATCAGATTAAAGTTCAGTCATAAAGCTGAATTTAATAAGTTAAATTAGTTAACTTCAGTCATGTTGCTATAAGACTACAAGGGAATTAAAGCACATAAACCATGAAATGAAGAACTGATTATGTTTTCATATGTATAAGTTTGTATATAGGATCAAGAATGAGAAAGATCTTTTGGCACTCCTTCACATCAGTCAGAAATTAAATTTTAAAAGCTTTTTTTCTCTCAAAAATATTTGGTGATTTGTCTTGGTAAAATTCAAAAAGATAAGGCAGGCCTTCCTTATATTTTTTTCCTTCAAGGATTGGTGGGTCTTTAATCTTTTCCCAGAGAATTTGACAAAAAGATCTTATTTGATCTACTCTAAACTCTATACTTCTAAAAACTTTTCTTTCTACTATAACTCTTATCTGGCATGTTTATTTTTAGAAAGCAAAGATAAGCATGAAAACCTGAACAGGGGACAGAAGGATGAAAATGAGTCACTGCAACAGCTTCCACAAAATTCAGCTGACCCAAGGGTGGGAAGGAAACTACATCATTCTGATCATTTTTCCTCTTAGCCTCTTGCATAATCTTTGTGTTTTCTAGACAGTTCACCAATTGTTGAATTTTAGTGTATATTGATCAGTGGAGACCAATGGAGAATTGCAAACCTTTTCTTCTTGTAAATGTTTATGGCATCACATTGACAGCCCCCAAACAACGTGTGCAGGCTACAGTGTCTGCACCCGCTCTGCACATGCTCAGCGTTAGCCTCTAGTACCCTTCTGTGAGACCCTTCTTGTCACGGCAGAAACACTTTGCTTTCTACTGACAGCCAGAGCTCCACATCATTGCATTTAGGTTCATGGAGAAATGTTATTTCAAGTGGATTGTTTGTATCTGTTTCATGTCTACTTATAAATTTTCTATTTTAAAAATCTAAGTACCATTTATATATCATAATCAATACTTCCCCAACTCTTGGATTGCTCTCCATAGCTATATATTTGTGAAAGAAGATTATCATTTTTTAACTCAAGTCAGATACTGAATAGAAAAACACATAGCAAAAGAAAAAATAGTTTCCTGTAAGTTATTTAACATAGATGGAATCAGAGTTTTCAGTTTAATGAGAGCCTATAAAAAGCTTAACTGCAGCAGAGGTAAATTAAATCAAGGGTGTGTCTCTCCTTAACTTTTACTTTATACTTTACAAGGAAAATTTCACTCAGTAGTTTGAAGGAATTTAAATAAATGATGCAGATACAATTGCCAAACATGACTATCATTAAAAAAAACAGAAAAGTAAAACTGGGGGATCAACTGGATCTATGTAGAATCTATTAAGAAAACATACTTCCTTGTGTATTTTGACATGATTGAGGTTATCATGGTGAGTTACAGCAGGTGATTAAAGCTAGAAAGTGAGAATATAATGATTCATTATCAAAGGAAGTCAGGAAAGGATTTTATTTTACTTTGAGGAAAAATACATAAACCTTCCACTCATTCCAAGAGTATTTTAAAATCAGCTCATGATACATTTTGATGCTTATATCTAACATTAATAGTTGTTTTTATTTTTACTGCTATTAATGATATTAGTTGAGAGTTATGGTTATAGACAAAGGGGAGAATCTATTGCTTTTGCAAACCAATTATGGAAAGCAATTTTAAAAAACTAAAACAATGTTCTAAATCATGACTATGTTTGTATTTATGTAAAGTATTGTATCTTACCTTTTGGTTCATAGTTTAAGTGCACAGAAACAGTAGTGGTTTTCTTCTGTTGTTCTGTAGTTTTCCTGTCCCCTCAGTCCCATCAATGTGTATATTACCATTCCTCAATGAAGTAATAGGGCATTTAACAAAAATCGCTCTGTGCAATACTGTATGTAGTGTTTCTATTTCAATTTTTTAGGATGTTAATTTATATGAAAATAAAATGAATAATAAAATATTTTTGTGTCTGTCCTGTGCATGTTGCATAAGGATACTTGGAAAATAACAGCTGTCTTAGTCACTTTTCTTGTTCTTGAGACAAAATATCCAACACTGCAACTTAAAGGAGGAGAGGCTCAGTTACAGTCCATGGTCAGCTGGCTCCAAGACTGAAACTGCATGGCAGAGGGGCATAGCAGAATACATGGCTCTGCTAGGAAGCAGTGAAAGATGGGAGGAGCAGGGAGGGATATTAATCCTTCCAGGCCACGCCCCCAGTGACCTGCCTCTTCTCACCAGGCCTGACCTCCTATGAGCACATTCACCTGCTAAACTCACCAGTGAGTGAATCCACCAATGAGTACACTGCTCCCTTGGTCAAATCACCTTCCAAACACATGAGACTTTGGAGGGGATATTTCAGATCCCAGCCATCACAACAGCCACCATATTTAACATTTGAAGGGAGCGAGGACTGAGAGAGGAGTGAAATTAAGTTAGTCTGCAGATTCATATATACAGAAAACTTGCACACTATTTCGTGGATCCAAAAACTTAATTTTATCAGAGATACTTAAATTAAAAATCATGATGAAATATTTACTTTTTTGTGCCTAAACTAGGGTTTCCATCCTGAGCTTGCAAAACCTTCTGCACATTTCCAGTTGGGTGTCTCATGATACCTTAAAAATTCATGGTGTACAAAGCCAAACTTAGCTTGTACTCTTGTCCCTCCAAATCTGATCATTGTTCTGTATTACCTATCTCAGTGAACAAAGCCACCACACACTCATAACCTGAGTTAGGCTCTACATCTTACTTTCCCTTTTGTTGCTACTGATTCGATCACCAGGTCCTATTAGTTTTGCATGCTTAGTATCTCTGGAATGCATCCATTTCCTGCCAGTTCTCCCATTAAAGTTCTAGTTCAGAACCCTAATGAATTGCCTTAATATCCTACTGATTGTTCTCAAATTCCAAGATTGTCTTTGCACCAATTTTTTGCTTACTGTGAACCCAATTTTTTTCTAACATACAAATCTGCTAATCTGAATTTCTTGTTTAAAATATATAAGTGGAAATATACGCTAAGAACATGACCTCAAAATATTAACCAAAAGCTTTACTGCGGCTGAAAGAGTGACCTGGTACCTACCTTACATCTTGAGCCACATGTCTTGATTTAACATCTCTTGAATTCCAGCCTCCAAACAGACTAAAACACTTTTAGTCCTTTCATGTCATACTATTTCTCAACTGCTACAATTTGAATGTACACCCCCCCCCCCAATTCAAGTATTGGAAACTTAATCCCAAATGCAAGTGTTAGGTGACAGATACATAGGAGGTGCTTGGATGGTGAGGGTTTTAAAGATATCAAGGAAACTGCTGTATGCTTTGAAAATAATGGGCACACAGAAAATGTCCTGTCCTCATGAAACTCACATTCTAATAGGGGAGACAAAAAATGGTGTGAAATTATGTCAGGTACTATGGTATTTAAATAGCATGACCAATGACTTATTCTTCAAACCAGAACACCTCTGAGTAACAAAAGCTGGAATATGTTGTACTCCCCACCTTCCTTCATAATGAAGTATTTCCTAGCTGGAAAGGAGTGACTACCTTCTCCCCAGTCCACACCATGTGCAACTAACTGCTGATGGAAAAACCAACAAAGATTAGTCAAGAAGGACACTGGAGACAAACTCGTTTTGAAAATACTATGCACAGTGTTAGCAAATGTCAGGAGAACCAGGAAGAAGAGTGGGTTATTTCTGGAAGGCTAGGATGATCACACACAGATGGCCATTGTCTATTATGTGAGTATGTAAAAGTAATGTATATATGAATTATATTCATCCAAATGTTAAAACATAATTTAGACAACTCAACATCATTTTTGAAGAAAAAAGTATGAACAATATGACTATGTTCTTAAATGATTGAATACTTCAAGGTAAAGTCAGCCCTGTGCATAATGGAGAGGTATTTGAAGTATTCCCATTAGATCAAGGGGGCGTGTGTGTGTGGCTCAGTGCTAAAATGCTTGCCTAGCACCACAAACAAAAAGAAATAATCTCATTAAAGTCTAGGAAAAAGACCAGCATGTCTACTTCTAAAACTGCTATTTATCACTATTCGGGTGATGAATGAAAACAAAGGCATATGATTGAAATGGATGAGATAATTTCTATTTGCTGCTGATTAGATTATATACTCAGGAAGCAGAAAATAATACTATTGTATCAGGGGATGTAGCTCAGTGGTTCTGCTGCTTGCCTCACAAGTGCAGGGTGCCGAGTTCGAGCCCCAGTACAAAAAAAAAAAAAAACTATTATAGAAAATAATGGGTTGTTACAAATTGACTACACCAAAAATTAAATGTATAAAAATCAAGAACTTTCATGTATGCAAACAATATTTACTACCAAGAAAAAATTGGAAATGCCCCCTCCTCACTCACTTGCAAAGGAACCCAGAAGTGGAGGTGTGGCTCAGTGTTACAGCATGTGCTTAGCATGTGTGAGGCCCTGGATTTGATCCCAGTATAGGGGTAAAAAAAAGGAAAGGACAAAGGAAACAGAGAGAGAGAAACTGAGCAGCAAGGAAAAACTTAAAACATAAGTGATCTGTAAGATCTTTATGCAAATAATTGAGAGATCCACAAAAATTAAAAGGCACTGATAATGTCAGCACTCCCTAAAGAGATCTATGAAATTAGTGCAATCCAAATAATAATACCAACAGAATGGCTTTTTGGAGAGGCGTTAAGAGAAGTGGAGAAAGGGCAGGAATTGGGTTGGCTTCAGAGTTCATACATAAATAACAGTCAAAAAATTTGGGGGGCGGAACACTGGAAAGAGGAACTGGGTCCTGTTTATTAAATATATTTAAAAGTGACAGCGTTTGTAATAGCAAAATATTAGAAAGTTCTAAATAATGAAGTGATATGTGGGCTTTAAAAAGAAAAACAGAAACATTTTATGTATGATATAGAAGATGTACAACATTTTGTTAAAGGGGAAATCTGTGAAAAACTCATATCTTTGTCATTTTGGTGTAAAAAGAAATAAAAAAGTATATATCAGTGATGGCAAACCTTTTAGAGCTTTCAATGATACAAACCGCCTGCTGTGGCTTGTGTGCCACAGGTTTGCTACCACTGGTATATATGGTACAAAAGTATAGATAGTGCACTCTTATTTGTGTAAAAATGGGTTCAAGGTGATTACTGAATCTCTAGAAATGGATATACATAGAATTTCTCTGGAAGCACTACAAGAAACTGATAATATTGGTTAATTCTGGAGCAGTAGCAAAACTGGGATTTGGGAGCAGGGAGAGAGAAGAGAGTAGGTTCTTCACAGTGATTTCCTTATATTCTTTTGGATTTGGTATAATGTGAGGAGTAAGTCAGTATAAAAATATTTCATAATTCACTTTTTGGATTCTCATTTGTATCTCATTTCAAATATCAAACAACACCCATCTGGTCAATTCAAGAAGACAGTGTGTCTGGGGTAGTTTATGGTGCTCTGAGTTGCTACAGCAACTCTATCAGCAGAACTCTACCAGGAAGATTAGGAAATTTCTCTCCCTGGATCACCACACAGAGCCATTTGGGAAAGTTGGAAAGCCAAACTTGTTTTTCTGTGGCAAGAATGAAAAAATAAATAAATAAAAGCCAGAGTGATCTGTAAGCACATTTTTTTTTCTCCCCTGGTGGTCTAAATGCCACAGTACCATTAGGTTTTTTACTTCACAAAGAAGCCCATTTTGGTATACCTTCTGCACACCCTCCTACTGAAGCTTTGGAGTTCCTTCAGACTGCCCTCATGCACTCTGTGGATGCTTTAATCCACAGCTGTGCTCCTGTTACACAAGCTAATGTTCTCTAGAGAATCCATGCAGTGGACCATAGGGCCAATTTCCACCTTACAGGCTAAACAACAGTGAGAATCACCTGACAGTGATAGCTTCTTGGAGTCAGAAACAGGTAATAAGTTTAAACCACTTCAAAGAAAAGCCATGTTAGAATGGCTTCACTTAATCAGACCTCACCATGACATTCATTATTTCATATCCACTTATTTTGCTTTGTAAATGCTGCCTGTAAATTTCAGCATCTCCTTAAATTAAGGAGCTCCGATTTTTCAAGCAAAAGGTGAAAAATCAAAAATTTCAATATTCAGCTTATGTAATACCATGATAGATACAAAAACACACGCCATTAATGGGGGCCTTCCAGCACATGAGAAAACAGATGCCATTGGGTGCCTGTGGTTGCAAAAATTATATATTCTTAAGCTCCTCAAATAAAACAAAAAATAAAAATATAAATGTACTGCAACCAAAACAAAAAGCAAGACATTCTAAATGTAAATATTTGTATAACTCTCCAACCTTGCTAAACTTGCTAAAGTTCCCAGCATAAAACTTGAAGTCTCCATTCAACTGACTATCTAGTACCTTCTCCCCACAAATTAGCAACTGCATCTTTTTGGATAGCTACAATCTTATCTCTTGGGAGAGTGCCCTGGCGACAGAATTCTACAGATGAAGGTGATAGTTAGGAAGATATCTTAGTCACTTTCCTCATGGCTGGAACAAAATACGCAACACCTGCAACTTAAAGGAGAGGATGGTTTTGGCTTAAGGTTTTAGTCTGTAGGTGGCTGGGTCCATGGTAGCAAGGCATGGTGGAAGGGGAAGGCAGACAAGAAGCAGAGAGAGAAGGGAGGAGCTACATCTTGTCAGGTCACACCTGCAGTGACCCACTTCTTCAGACCAGATCCCACCTCCTAACATGAAGCCACCCCACAGAAAGTCCGAGTGCCTTCCAAAAGCCCTGCCTATGAGCACAGGAGGCCTCTACAGGATACTCACATAGATATCACAACAGAAGATTCCCTGTGTGTCTACTTGTTTTTAATTTGGGGGGATGAAGTCTTGCTAGGATGCCCAAGGTGGCCTTGACCTCCTGGACTGAAATGGTCCTCCTGCCTCAGCCCCCCGAGTAGCTGGGGCTTCAGGTGTGCATCGCTGCACCCAGTGGTGTGTGTGTTCACGAAACATACTTCCCTTTAGGAATATGAACTGCAGATGGAGGGCAGGCTGTCAGCATTTAATCAGGAAGAAATGAAAGAGAGAAAGAGCAGAGAGAGGCGAAATGGAGGAGCTGAAATGCTGTGTGGCAGCAGAGAGTTTCTGGAGGGAGAGGGTGTAGGCTAGAAGCACTGTCCATAGCAAGAGGGGAACCACTGAAAGAAAGAATAAAAGGTTCCACTGTTGACTCAGATAATAAACAGGCAGACTTCACCTGAGGAATGCAACTCATTTTCTGTGATGTTTTCTCCTCTTCCCACTCTTAAAGGAGTATTTTTTCCAGGTTACTCTGCCCTTTATTCATCTATTTTCCCTCTATTAGATGTCTCATCTATGTTCATGGATCATTTTGCTTTGATTATCTGTTTCTGCATGTCGAGCTTCTCACTCAAATCCTAGTCCTATTTCTTCAAATGGGGGTGAAAATTTCCTTTAGATAATTTCATTCTCACTGCACACCTAACACCCATCAAATCCTTGTCATCTTCATCTAATATCAGGTCCTCACTCAACGTGAAATAAGAAAAAATTGTTCAAAAGGAAGGGGGAACTAGAGAGGTGAGAGGGGAAAAGGAAGGAAGGAAAAAGAAAAAAATGAGAAAAGGAGGAAAAAAATGGAAACAAGGCTTTTGTATATAAGGAGAAGAGGGGTTGAAGGGAGGGGAGGGGAATGGGAAAAAAAGAGGGATCAAGATACATCATGTACAGGTACAAATTCCTATGATGAATGTTATCATTATGCATACCTAAATTGTACCATAAAATTAAAATAAAAAACTCAAAGTTGTATAGATGAGCTCCTAATCTTTTGACATACTCCACTTCTGTCCCCATAGTCTACAAAAATTTCCATTCTTATCTCTTCCTTTCATATCCAATTCTATAACCACGTCTATTCCTAATCACTAGTCTGTGTTCCTACAGGAGCCAATGAATTGGTTTGTCCAATTCTGTTCCTTCCAATTGCCTTGTATATCTGGACTTAAATAACCTAGATCAAATCTGTCCGTGATTTGGTACTTCCTGTGAGATCAGGTGGAATTTCCTCTGCCTCTTTCAAGGACCTTTACATTCTCTACTCTCTGTCTCTTCCCTCCTCCTATGCCCTTCCCCACAAGACACACTCCAAGGAACTATATGGTACTCTGCCCAAAATCCTCTTTAAGACTGATCACGCATCTCATTTCATTCCATCTTCCGATTCCTACTGAAAATATCATGTCCAGAGCACATAGTTGGGTTCCTCACTGAGAGTTGCCCTTACTGGAGGGAAATGCATGCCCCCATTCTGGAGAAGACCTATTGAATAGACAGTGACTGGCTGCTGTGAGTTACAAAGGCCTGTCCTCTTGAATCAACTTATAATGCTACCCCAGCTCCAGAACTCCCTGTTGGATCAGCAAGGCTTCACTTGCAACCAAATTTCTTTGACCTTTGCACAATCCAATTCTCTTCACTTTCTTACCAGTCTGGTCTATGTCCTGCAAATATTACCAATAACCTACTCACAACTCTCAGAATTTAGAAAACCAATCTAAGATAGATCCAGAAGCAGCTCAAGGAAGAGTACTGTAACAAGAGATTTGTAGATGGCTCATTGTCAGTCCCAGCCAGTCTGTCCCAGGGCATTGCTGCAGCTTTTCCCACAGGAGCGACTAGTGAAGGGACTTGCTGGCTTGTAGAACACCTTTGGTGCTTAAAAATTAGGAGGAACTGAGTGCCTATAGGGATGCTGGGGCTGGGTACCTATTTCCAAGCAGCATTGGTTGTTGAAGAGAAAATGAAAGGGTGATTAATGGCCAATGCAGGCAGAATGTGAAAGCTTCAGGTAGTGTTTTCTTGGAGCATTTCATTAAGCCCTAGTTCCTACAGTCAAAGGAAGGCTCTGGCTGTGGGAGTGTTGTTGCAGAAAAGTTTGCCTTGTCAGCTCTTACAAGTCTCCTGAGCGAAGATTAAGGTCATCATAGGGAAGAAATGGGACCCCTGCAATTGAGAGAGCTACACTTGGTGAGGAGTTGAAAATCTGAAGCTTCAAATTTCCCTGGACCTCATAGACCTGTAGTTAGGCTTATAGCCCCATTGGGAAGTGCTGGTGTGGCCAAGTAAAGTTACTGCAGGAGTCAGGAGAAGCAGCATAGGGAATGTGTCTGGAAGCTGCTGGGACAAAGAAGGGAGGAGAACATGAAGTTGGATAAGAGATACTCATCATCAGACATCAGAGACATCTCCCATAATTCAAGACTCAGCTCTGTGGCAAATGCCAGGAATTGTGATAATAAACTGTTAGCATGATTCTTAAAGGATGACAAAAGCTGTGATCCATGTTCAGTAAAATAAAATACAGGGGTTGCCATGGTGTACGGTGCAAAAAACGATCCAAAGGCCCAGGGAAGTAACCATGCTAAAGTGGATTGGCTACGTAAAGTTAAAAATGAACCAAAATAAACAAAACACTCAGCCAACTGCATTCCCAGGATGCCTGTGCTTGTGAGCGGAGAGGCAGTTTTGCGGAGAAGTTGGCAGTGCCTGTTATCTGTAGAGCAGGGCTAACTGTAGAAAGGGATGCTGCTATAAAAACAAGGCTCTTGGATGGATAGGAGAACAGCATGATCTCAAAATAATGTAAGCCAGGTTGTAATGCTCAGCTTTCAGAAGTAATGATCTAAATAAAATAAAATGAAGTTCAGTGTGAATGCTCTGGGTTCAGCCCTCCATTCCATTAAGAAAATAGACAAAGAAAGGTAGGCCAGATAAGGAGCTCGGGACTCAGGGACTATTCTGACAATCAGTTCCCTGGTTTGGTTTGTTTCACTGGATTTTCTAGACCAAATACCAGAGAAGCTAGTAACCCAGAAACACCCATGCATACAACCCCAACTACGAAACAGTACGGTTTTCCGTATTTTGCTTTTGGTAAGGTGGATAGACAGCCTGCTGCACTCCAGAAATAGTCGCCGACAAATTCAACGAGGAGGTGGCAAGGGAAGGGTTCAGGAGTATTCTGGAGCAGGCCTGATGATCAGCAATTTTTAATAGCATCATTTTTTATTTGACCTTATTGTTCTCTCTCACACAGACATTGATAGTCAGTAAACTTTCTAGGAATACATCCTAAGTTGTTCACTTGATGGCAAAAATTCATTTTCATTGACTTCATAACTTAAAAATCAGCCAGCCATGTAAAGTGGAATACCTTAAGCCAAAGCAGAATATCTGGTCCCATTTAATAAATGAAGATGAACTATTTCTCAGTAAGTTGGATTTAATTCTTTTGAATTTCATACAGTGAATCAACCATGTGCAATTTTATGAAGAATCTCACTTTTTATTGATCATTGCGTTTCTCGAATGGCAGATAGTTCAATTAGTAGAAAAATGGCAACATTGTGCAACTAAGAAGTGTTTAAATTAAAAAATGTCAAAACCTGTGAGAGGTTGAGTGTGAAAATGAATGAAACTTGTGACAATTTCTGGCCTGTGCAGGACACAAGAAGAGTGCATTGGCTGCCAAAGGGAAGGAGAGGCTTACAGTGGGCTTCTGCTTGCAGCAGTTCTCCGGGCTTCCTTCTGCAGTATTTCCTACTCAGAGAACACAGTGTGGATGTTCTGTCTCCAGCTGGTGGGGAGTAAGGCAGAAGCGCGGAAGTTCCCCAAACCAGGACTGACAGTCAGTCCCTCGACCTCCACTCCTTCAGCATCTGATTCTGATTCCTCTGGATGACATCAGGCCCCCAAGGAGATCATGTGATGCGGGCCAGGGGTTGAACTCACTGTGGCTGGACAAATCCACTCTGAACACACAGAACTCCTTTGCTCCCCACTGAAACAAGTTTAGAATTCCACTTTTATGGCACATCACACCAGGATCACATATAATCCTAGAGTATCTTTATTTGTTCTATAATTTAATAGGATACCTATAAAATAATTACATTATACTTATAGCTTTTTTTCATTTATAAACAAAACGGAAAACAATTAAATACATTTTGAGCCATTAGAAGGTAAACTTTATACATACAATAACCCCCAAAGGAGCTTCACCCTGCAGCATATCGTATTGCTTTCATTGCTACACCCACAATTGGGTTCCAAGAGAGGGCTCACGTTTGTATTCTGTGAGTTCCTAACTTACTCCTTCCCCTATCTACGTGGGTTCTGTGTTAATAAAATGATAGGGTTGACCTTGCGGTTGGATCCGAGACTCCCTGGCCGCCTTCCCACTCTCCTCCACCGACTTCCATTAGGATTTCCACACATATGGATTTCCTTCCTTCACAGCTTTTTTGAGTCTGACTTGAAGTGTTCTGCTAAATGCAAAACTCAATCCTGACCTTGTAAACCCTCTCTACTTGTCTCCATCCTCAGGTTCCAGCCCTCAATGATTCTTTTTTCTTTTCTGCCTCCCGATTTCAGGCTGTATATATGCATTTCTGAAGCCAAGATGCACTTCACAGGAGTACAGTCTGTGCTCAGGTGTCTTTTTTTAAACGGTAGTAGAGAAATAAAAATGTAAAACTTGTAGTGCAGCAGCAGGAAGTAATCACCAACACGCCACACTTCACCCCAAGCCTTGCTCTCCAGGTGACAGACTCTAGATCTGCCTGACTGGGTAGCGCCAGGAAGCTTCAGTCCCCAGAGCAGCTTGTGGAGCATCTCTCTCATTTACTAAGCAACCAACTCTTCAGCAGGAGCATTTGCTTGAAAGTTGCCAGCAAAACTTTTTTAGTGTAGTTGACTCCTACCAATGACAACTCATTCACATTTATTAGACCCCATGAACATCACTACAGGGAGGCCTTGCTGAGTCAGTTTAGCAAAGGGACTCAAAATAGGTGTAATCTGCAGGAAAATAAATTATGTCAAGGGACCACAACACAGAAACTTCAACAATACCTTAGAGTAATGAAAGGTGACCTAACGTTTGCTCAGTTTTTAAAGTCTATTCTTTGGAAAGGATACTAGTTACTTTCTCTAGGACTGTTCAACTAGATTACTATTTTCTATATATTTATCCTTTACTTCCTCCCGCATCACAAAGTGACTTGATTCCTTCTATTCTTAAATATCTCTTTATTTCAACAGAAAATGGTTTTTTTCCTTAGTATCATGGCGGTAAAAATAGTTCCGCCTCCCCCACATACGCACGTGAAACATTGTAAGGGGGTTAGCATGAAGAACTTCCCAGTAAATCTCCCTCCCTACACTCACTCATCCCAGCTCAATTTCTACATGTGCTGCAATGCTTTAGTACCTTCAGTGATGTAGTATTTAAAATAAAATCATGACTTTCCCCATCTCCCTGCCCAATCTAAAATAGGTGCATGGCAGTGAATTGCTGGCCAGGCATGACTTCTGAGTACAATACCTTCTGGGCAGATCATCACCTGATCTGCACCCTACTCAGAAGGATCCTGCAAAGCCAGGGTCAAGACACGTGAAACAATACATGGATAGATCTAGAATACTTTTTTTTTTAACAGCTCTTTACAATATAGGTCAATTATAAAACCAGCGTTAATATAGAGACCTTGTGTGGGATAACTGCAGCGACAATAGCATGCACACTAGAGTTCATCTCGAGTCCACAGGTGGGGACGGGGGAGGAAGAGGTGGTGGCGTCTGCAGGTGGGGAAGGCGTGGCCTGTCCGGACAGCGAGGCCCCCACTTCCGTGATCCCAGTTGCTCATGGAGTCTTCTTGCTGTCAGGTTTATCAGGAGACTCCCGTCCACCGACATCTCTTTCATGGACAGTGTCCACACCAGCGTCGCAGCAGCAGCCCAGGGCAGCACTGGAATCACAGGAATGCACGCGCCCCACCTGCCAGAGGTCCAGGGACCAGCAGGAGAAGTTTGAGGGGCTCCTCACAAGAGTGATGCCTCCATCGCACGGGAAGGAGCGAGCTGGAGTGTAAAGCGCGGCCAGAGAAATACTCGCCTCCACATGGTGGAAGCATCCAGGCCGGGGTCGCAGCGCATGCCCTGTGAGTCCTTTCTGACTGCCGGGTGGCGCTTTGTCACGCCTGAGCCACGACCTGGTTTGGACGCGCAGGCGGGGCCCCAGTCGGTCGGGAACACAGCAGCCAAGCGCCACTTGGGGTCCACGCTCGTGGCAAGGACTCCGTCAGCCCCGAGAGACTGGCCGCCCAGGGGGACGCAGACAGCGTGTGCGGGAGCTCGGGACACGGGCGGCGGCGGCGGAGGCGGCGGCGGCGGCGCGGAGCTACGTCCCGCCTGCTCACTGCTTGTCCGAGTCGCTCAGGTTCACGGACATGCAGCGGCACTGCTTCACCTTCTGGATCTTTTTGAGTCGGAAGGGCGGGTCGAGCCCCGGGCACTCGAGCTCCACGAGGACCGAGGTGACGCGCTGGGGCTTGCAGAAGGCGCAGGACTGGAAGGACTCCTCCTCCTTCTTCACGTGCCGCGGGATGTAGAAGGAGTTGCACTGGCCATAGCAGAAGCGGTTGAGGATCGTGCGGCTGCGGCAGCCCTCCCCGCTCACCGTCTGCCGCAGCGGCTGCGTCTTGCACCAGTCACTCTTGAGGTACTTGCGCTCCGTCACCACCAGCGCCTCCTGGCTGGAGGCCAGCACCTCTTTGATCTGGTGCTGCCATCTCTCCGAGTGGTTGCTGCTGCCGTCCTTGTAAGGAGAGGGGATGGCGCCTGCCGGCCGGTTCTTCCGGGCTTCAGCCGCCTTCACCAGCACGGCCACCAGGAAGAGGGAGAGAGCGAGCTTCCAGAGCATTCTGCAACGAGAGGAGAGCGTCAGTGGGCGGGGCGGGAGCGACGGAGCACGGCGTCCGCGGCTCGCTCTGAGCCTTTGGGTTTCTTTAGGAGGCGCAGTCAGGTGGGGCTGGCTGACTGCCGGGTGCCCGGGAGCAGCAGAAGTGAGAAAGCATTAAATTGTACCCTCGGACACAGTTGTGAGCTACCCTAAATAGGGCCCAGAAAGCAGAGAGGTCAGGAAGCAATTCATGACACTGTTAGAAAACATATAAATCGAATGACTACAGAAAAAACATTAAAGCAAACGCACTGAAGAATTCTCAGGCCAGCTGGGAGAAGTACCAGTGAAGGTCATCACCTAGCATGTATTGTTTTAATACAGGCCAATGCAAGCCTAAGGGCTTTGCATGCACATCTCATTTGACCCCCAGTTAGAGGTGTCTTAGGATCCTCTTCATGGGGAGATAAACTGAGACCCAGAGTCTGAGTCATCTGCCCAGGTTTGCAGTAACCGCCGAGCAGCCCAGGACTTGGGACCTGGCATCCACCTCGGGGCCATCAGTTAATCATGGATAGGCTGAGAAAAATTAATCAGTTAAAAGTAAAGGGAACATTCACAAGGTTTTCAAGAATGTGTACTGAAGTTAGAAACACACGTGGCTAAGAAAATTAATAATTTCTTCTGGCTCTTTATTACATCTAGAGAGTAAATAGCACTCAGCATTTAACATCTCACATAGAAGTTCAAGTCATTCGAAGGAGTCCTAAATTAGATTTGTATAGTGGAAAGCAATTCCTACATGTCAATTAAGAAATCTCCGAGGCCACATTAAAATTGTCTAAGGCCAATACAAAGGCTTTTTCCCAGTATGAGTATTAGTGACTGTAAGTTCAACAAACATGAGATTTGGAGAGAAATCCTCCTAAAACTTGTCTTGTATGAGGAAAACCAAATTTTCACTTGAGTGAAAGATGGACTTCACAGTTCAATTCACATTTTTAATTTCTGTATTTTCATGAATAATCAAGGACCAATGACACCTAGGAAAGGAGGTGACTCTCATGTCATTGTACTACTGTGCCTCCTAACATGATCCTTGTTATCAGAGTCAGCATCATTATTGTATTCATTCTTTCTCTTTGTATTTTGCTATTCATGGAACTGCACAGATTTCAGTTCATTAACATGCATTCTAAGATGGACAAATCAGTAAAATATTATTTGGTTATATAGTATACATTGGTTATATTGTATTTGTTAGACATAAGCATATAAAATGACTGAAAATTTAATATTATTAGAAACTTCAAATTCTAAGCTAATACAGATATTAACATTAGAGTAACTAATATTTATTGGTTCTCAAAACTTATCAGACATTATAAATTAGTTTCCTTTCATGTGTGAATAGGGTTAATCATCAGAGTTCTATGAAATAAGCTCAACTACTTTCCCCCATTTATAGATGAGGAAACTGAGGCAGTGACAGGATCAAGATCACAAAGCTGGTATGTGAAATATTTGAATTCAAGTATCCCAGCTCTGGACTCCTGGGTCTCCCTGAGTGTACCATAGCTACGCTAAAATTATTTTTGCTGTCACTGTTACTAGTCTAGGTCACAGCAATAAGAGGCTCTGCACATCAACTATTTGTGAAGTATTAATTCAAGAGTGCGCACTGTGATAGGCTTTTTGAATTCCAGTATCTCCCTGCCATGTTTTGGACCTTAAATGCCCCCAAAGTTCTGCTTGCTAAAGGCTTGGTCCTTAGCTTGGCACTAGTGGAAGGTGGTGAAACCTTTAAGGGGTGGGACCTAGCAGGTGGACTTAGGTCACTGAGGGGGTACTTTTTAGAGATTTGGGGACTCCAGTCCCTTTCTCTCTCTTTTTCTCTTTGTTTCCCAGCCAGCAGGAGGTGAGCAGATTCCTTTGCCACACATTCCTGCCCTGATCTTCTGCTTTACCATAGGCCCAAAAGCAGTGGGACCAACCACCCATGAACTGAAACCTCCAAGATTTGAGCCAAAATAAACCTTTCCTCTTTTTAAGTTGATTATCTCAGGTATTTTGTTGCAGTAAAACAAAGCTGAGTAACTCTAGCTCTCATGGCTCTAAGGAATGTGAAGGTACAAGGAAAAAGCTTGGGTTGTGCTTGGAGAAGAAGCGGGAGGAGCCTAGGAATAAATAATTAAATGAGTCCTCTAAAATCCAAGTAGTATTCTTCCAGGTGCTGATACTGACAAAATCATGGGAGTTGGGTATTGTCGGTGACATTGGAAAAAAGGCATAAAAAACCAAGAGCAGAGAGGGGGAAAGAATTTTCCCTTTTTCTTCTCCTCCTCATCCTCTACTCTCTCTTCTTTCTCCTTCTCTTCCTCCTCCTCTTTTTTCTCTTCCTCTTCCCCCTCCTGTTCTCGTCTTCTTCCTCTTCCTCTTCCACCTCTTTCCCCTCCTCCCTCTCCCTGTAAAAACCTTTTGTCCAACACAAGTACTGAAACTTTAAGGCCAAGTTTTTAAAGGGTTTTTCTCACACCTCCTTCGTTCCACACATGAAGTGTCATATGAAAGTGACCACACTTCCAGCAGACTTGTGGCAAGCACTGAGTATTGGATTTGCTGAGCATACATAGCTTATTATGTTTGTAAAATGATTTGTGATCTCAGTTGCCTCTTAAAAAGAAAGTATTTTGGTTCCATTTTAATAATTTCTGAAATTATTAACATTCTGAGTAAACACAACCAAGAGTTTGTGAGTCCCACTAGGCAAGGTTTACAGAGTCCACCTGGTCCTCAGCTCGGGGTTCCTGCCACAGCTTCACATGCACTTTGGAGAAGCTGGCAAAGGCGTGCTCTGGTTCAATAGGTTCAAATTGCCCTCGAGGGAGAACAGAGCTAAAACATGTTCAGATCAATTTGGGACAAAAACTCTTCATGTCAGCGGCATCAGATGTGGTGATCAGCAACATGCATTATTTGAATGCTTTCAATCAGTTTCAGAACATGTGGTGCACATCCCTAGAAGTCGTATGTCACAGGCACTTGGAAATAAGAGCAAACCTCCAGGTTGCAGGACAAGAAAAAGATTCTGATGACATCCAGGTGACAGGGGCCAAGTCAGGCTCTTCTCCCTCTCCTTCCTCACAGCTCATTTCTTTTCTCCTTGACACATGATGACAGCAAGCTCACCAAGGATTGGGCATCTCAACAGCAGGTAAGCAGGCAAGAGGTGCTTCTGCCATAGCTACTGTTAGGATGTGTCTTCTTCACTTCAAGCAGTTAAGCCAGCTGTGGCCAGTGGCACTCCCTGGCCCTTGCTTGTACAGGTTCATTGCAGGAGAGAATGTGCACATGCCTCTGTCTTCCCCTTAGCCAAACTCCCTGCACACTCAAGCCTCCCAGACCTGAGATTATCCCTGCAGAGTCCTGCTCTGTCCTGAATCCCTTTTCTATTCAGAGAAATGCCTGACATACAATTAACCTCTCAGGAATGTTGTCACGACTGCCAGGAAAGACAGCATGAGGATACTTCATTTTACTTTCACATCTTGTGTTTGGCTTGTATCAGAAGAAGCTCGTAAATAAATTCTGTTGGTTTTATTAACCATCCTTCTGGCCTGACATTGTTGGCATTTTGCAAGGGGTGCCAGGACTGTAAATGCTGATGGCCTAAGCAGACTGCGTTGGCCAAAGTTGATTGTGCTACAAGAGAGGTAGTGGAAGGACTTTCCTCTGAAGTGAACGCCCTTGGGCCTGGCCTTTGTAGATACAAGAACAAGGGCTGTCCAAGCCAAAGCTGTCTAGCATCTAGGCAGCTAAATAGTCACAGGCTTCCTCTGTCAGCCCTTCCTAGACACATGAAGACCTGAAGAGGAGCTGTACAATAGAGCAGGACAGCTTCCTCACTGCTAGGAAAGGACACCGCAATGCAGGTTCACCCATCCCAACAGGTACATGCAAATGAGAAAAGGTCACAGGTCATGGGTGCAGTGAACTCTTGTACTCACTCTAGAGTGAGCTTGTTGTGGTTTAGAGGTCCGTGTAAGGCAAGACTGGGCTGTGGAGGAGTGGTGAGTGGGATGGGAGCTGAAAATTTTCTGTGACTTAAGGATCCCAGCACATCATTAGAAAGTTGGAAGAAATCACTCAGGGCTAAATATTCATAGATGCATGTGAGATAAACTTGGTCCCACCACCCAAGTGAAAACAGACTCAAAACCAAACCAAACATCTAAACCAAAGCCCCCAACAATGTTGAACACTGGGGATTATTTTTATGAGTTTTCTATTGCCACAGCCTCAACAACTAAAGGTACTTCCTGTATGATTTTGATTCTAGGCTGAGAGGGTAGTGATTTAACTCCCCAGCTAACGCTCTAGTGCCAGACGTGGGGTTTTCATGGCTTCATGATCATCCTCAAAGCCTATGACTGCTTCTCTGCCGAAACCGCTTACCTCCCCAGCAACTGTAAACTGAGGCACACTATGACCCACAAGCCAAATCCAACCTGAGGTCTGTTTGTACAAAAGAAATTGTACTGGAACACTGCCATGCCTTTTCATTTACTTTTAGTCTATGGCTGCTTTGTGCTGTAAGGGCAGAAGCCGTAGTGGAGTCAGTGACCATAATGCTCACAATGATGAACATATTTACTATCTGGCCTTTTACTGAAAAATTGGCCAAGTCTCACTCCAAAATGTCCTCTCCAATTCAGTTGTGGCTTTCTCTTTAGAGATGAGCTCTTTTGCCAGAAAAAGTACCTTTCCTTCAATTTAAAAGTTTTAAACTATGAAACAGTTCAAACGTAAGGCAAGATAGAAAATATAACAAGCTTTATTTTATTCACCACCAGGATAAAAGTAATATTGATCTTTCTGATATATATATATAAATTTCTAATATATATATATTCCCTATATATATATTAATATTGTCCTTCCTTCTCAGTTCTCTTGCTTTTGCTGAGATGACCAGCATTCTGCAGTTGGTACATATCATTCCTGTTGACACTTTCACTGCTA